CAGGTTCATCTTTGAATATATCTAGAATGCTCTCGTTTCAAGGGCTTGGCAGATATTTTTCCTCTGCTGGAAAATTCTTCTCCCCAATAGCCCAAAACTCTCCTGCTTTTTAAAGAATCTTTTAAAATATTATTCATTCAGAAAGTTTTACTCCTGCTCCACCTTAAAAAAAGCAATTCACCTGCCATCCTCTCATGCTGTAATCCTTTAAACCAAGCTTTATTTCTTTCCTGTCCCTTATTTTCACCTGACATTATGTGCACGTATATACATATTTATATATTCATGAGTACATATACATATATGTATTAATTTTTAAGCCTTAAAAATGGACTTTCCTCTTGCTTTGAAATTTTTTAAGCCATAGAAAAGCCAGAGAACATACAATAGCTATTTACAACTCTAAAGCCTTTTATGTTATCTTTTCCCAGCAAAATTAGGAAATAAATGCAAGATATTGCATACTTTATTTGGAGAATGAAGGAATAAAAGGGTGAAGAGGAACTTAAATACACTCTACTCCTTCCCCTCCCTGTTATATTGAAACAGAGGATCTACTCACAGTTGCATAAGACAGTGGCTACTAATTATAGCAAAACTCAGGCTAGAATCCACTTCTCCTTCATTCCAGTGCAGTGCCCTTTCACCCAATGTTAATGCCTACTTATGTACTTTTTCCCTGAAGTTTCTCAATACAAAATATTCCAGACACAGCCTCCCTCAATATAGAAAAATAAGAATTAATGTGCAGGGGGCCGGCCCCGTGGCTTAGCGGTTAAGTGCGCGCGCTCCGCTACTGGCGGCCCGGGTTCAGATCCCGGGCGCACACCAACGCACCGCTTGGCCGGCCATGCTGAGGTGGTGTCCCACATACAGCAACTAGAAGGATGTGCAACTATGACATACAACTATCTACTGGGGCTTTGGGGAAAAAAAGGAAGAGGATTGGCAATAGATGTTAGCTCAGAGCAGGTCTCCTTCAGAAAAAAGAGGAGAATTGGCATGGATGCTAGCTCAGGGCTGATCTTCCTCAAAAAAAAGAATTAATGTGCATTTACTCAAATAGTTCAATAAATGTCACACCTAGTGTCGATGCAAAATAACCAATAACCATTCTATAGATAAGAGAAATAAGGTGAGTCTTACTTGAGCCAGAGTGAGGATTATAACCCGGGAAGGCCTTAGAAAGCATTCCGGAGAAGCATGGTTTTCACTACAGTCTTATATCTTTTTAGAACAAAGAACATACATTAAATACACCCAGGATACATTTTCATCAAAGTTTCAAAGAGGTATTTGGTTGCAAATTAGCAGGTCAACGTGACCCTGATGTCTGGAAAGAGACTAATCAGGGAGGCAACACCAGCAGGGCAGAGGAGAGGAAGTATATATTCTTATCTTGAGAATGCATTCTTCACTTGAACGGTTAAAGCAGATGTACAATGTATGTTTGACAGGCCGTAAATCAAGCTTTTTAGTTCAAGCCGAATCAGTTTTGAACCTGAATACTTACCCCATATACCTCAATATGTGAAAATCTCTTGTCACTAGAAAAATTATTGAAGATTATCTGTAGTCAGATTTTTATTGTTTCTAAAATCTAGTCATAGCCAGTCATTGCTATCATTATTTTTTGAACATCCACTCTGGTCCAGGCACTTTAGCTCAGTTTCTCCATTCCTTACAATAAGCCAGCAGGGTAGATTTTATTAATCCCATTTTTCAAATGAGGGAAGTGAAATTCAGTGTGTCAGAGCACATTGCCCAATGTCACACAAACAGAAAGAGTCAGAGGCAGAATTCAGACCAAGGTCACCGATGCCAGCACCCGTGCTTTCTCTCTTGCCCCATGCCCCTCTGTAGATAACAATGGAGAACTCTAATAATCGCTGGTGTAATTGACCTTATCTGCTTATGTGAAATTTTCCATGACCACGGTAGTGAGTGGGGTTCCAGGCCAACCTCTGCCACTCTAAAAAACAAGGTGACAGTGATGAGGTATGTCAAATGCATTGTTATAAAAGAAACACATTCTTATTCACTTCACTGGGACCAAGAATACATAAGCCTGACCATAGAGGGTTAGAAGAAAAACATCCATCTGACATGTAAAATCTGGATTATCTCTACACTAGAAGGGCAAAGAGGGAAGGAAGAAAACAAAAGATGAAAATGAAACACTTGCATTTGTTTTACTAGGAATAGGCATCTTAGAAAGCTTTTACAATTATAATTAACTATTGTGCGTTCTCTGTCTTTGTGATGGCATAAGAACGTTTAAAATTAAGAGAAAAGCCCATTGTAAAATCTTAGAAGGTAAAAAGCAAGTCGTTTAATTTTTCTTTCATGTGATGTTAATTTATGCAGAGCTAATAACATATTTGTGGCTCAGAGCTGCTCATTGTGGAAAGGATTTCTCTCTCAACCAGGCTGTCCTGTGATCCCTGCCAGATAGAGCCATCGTTTCAGGGCTTGTGACACTTGCCTGAGAAACTCAACACGGTAATAAGTTCATGTACTATAGACACACTTAATTGTGAACTCCCTGAAAACCAGTGGTATTAAATGTTCTAACTCTTCTTTAGCTGTTACAAACAAAATAGTAAACGAATTGGAAGAGAAGAGGAAGAGGAAATTGGATATGTGGTGCATAGTCGGGTGGAAAGGGGGCAGTATTGTAGACTGCTGAGAGAGAAAATTCAGGGGGAGGAGTTTTTGTAAAAGAAACATGGGTTACTTTTATATCCAAGTAGGACATCATTAGATTGTTGTGTCTTTTATAAATGAAAACCCTAATTCCACTGCTGCCAAATCACCTATAGACTAGAGACAACCGTTCTTGAAGAAATGCAGAATCTTCAGAAGTTGATGTTCTAAATGAATTCACCATGAATAAAGTCAGTCCCATAATGACAGCTTAAAGGTCTAATTCATAAAAATGTTATTAAAGTACATTATTTATACCTACTTTTTGTGGACTTCTGCTCTTATTCATGACTATCTCAGCGTATGGCCATAATCACAGACAGAGTGTGTAATGGAAGCATTAATTCAATCTGAACTAAGGCAAGAATACTGTATTGCCACAATAAAATCCCAGCTATATTAATTGAAAGGGTAGAATTTATTACACAAGAGCATTTTCTTAAAAAAAAAAAATGAAAAGAATGTCTTCTATCCTATTGCATCAAATATCTTCTTTCATTCTGAAGTTCAGTATAAAATTGACTAATGGGCATGAACTTTTAAATGAAATATGTATTTATCTACATTATGAAACTTAGAGACTTGGATGCAGTTGTGATCTTGTCGTGACTATGGCATTGATTTTTGATATGGGCTAAGAAATATTTACAAGCAATCTGTATTTTAATTAAGCCCTTTTCTGGTGCATGACATCAGAAGGTGATTTTAGCAGATGTGATTCAATTGTGTGACATATGCATTTATTTAGATAAGATAGAAAATGTCCTGCTACATAAAATTTCTCCCAGAGAAGCTGAAAGTAATGCTACTTAAATCAAAAGTATCTTTATCCATAATTTTAAATACGATTTGCATATTTAATATGTACAAAGCTTTAGGGAAAGGCGAAGTGGAATTCAATTGGTTTATTTCTAACTCTGAAACTATCGAAATTTGACTTCTTGACTTTCTACTTCTGATTGGATGGGTTGTAATGGTACACTGTAGACACATTTAGACAGAGTGTGAATGTAATTCTCCCTAAGACACTAACTTTTCTCTAGGACTCATGAAAAGGGGTTCTTTATAAATTATATTTCTAACACTGAAAGAAAGTGTTGTCTTTGATCTTGTAGGTAAAAATCTCTATACCTAAGGGAATGAATTAATTCCCATATTTAATAAGATACAGTTATTAGTAGACAACCTAAGCATTCATAGTAGAACTACGCATTGAATTTCTTCAATGTAGTAACATTTCTTCAGTGTAGTAACAATCTCTTAATAGTTCTGGCTAATGAAAATCTTTGTGTGCTTGGAGTCTACACTTGAGACGAGAGACAAATGACAAAGAGAAAGTCATTTCAAATATAAGATAAATAGCATTACTAATTGAAGATAAAACTCAGTCGATTTCCAGCATTAACCATCTTATAACTGCCTCAAACCTAAAAGCACTGAATCTTCCATTTCAACAACTCTGTACTTCTGCATGACTTTGTCATTTGAAATGAGTACACTTACCGGAAAAATATCCGGGAATGTCCAGTTGTTACAAGGCTATGGCTGGGCAGCACTTGAGGTTCCCTCTACCCTTTAGACCAAGGCTTTCTCAGATCTTTGAAACAGAAATCTTCCATGAACAAGTCTACAGGCACCACAAACTCTTCTACGTGGCATCCAGACTTACCGCAACCTCTGGGTGCAAAGATAGTCTGAGTACCCTCAATATACAACCACTCAGAAAGGGCAGTGGAAGTTATGTCCCCAACACACTGCCAGACAAATGTCACCAGGCTCCAAATGCCTGTTGACAAGAGGCAGGTTTGAAAAACAGTTAAATCAAAATAGATGTTTTTAATGGCCTGGTGTTTTATTTCTAATGAAACTGAACATACAAAAAGAAAACAAAAAATAATCGTTTTAGCTTACCTGCAGTATCTTTCCTCAGAAATTATATTTTAATTTCACATATTAACATTTTACTTTAGGCACTAGACAAACAATCGTTTGGTTCAGAAAGCTCAAACTTGTTCATGATTAGTAAACAATATTAGCAATCTACAATTTAATGCATTTACTGTGAGCTAGGCATTGTGCAGGGGGCTTTGTAAACATTATCTAACTTTGAGAGAAGTGCTGTTATTTTACAAAGGAGGAAAATAAGGCTTAGTGAGATTACACCACTTGCTCAAAGTCACAAAGCTATCTGGAGGCAGAACTGACTTAACAGTAATCCTTCAGTGCAATCTTGGCTTTCCTTTTGTACTAAATTTTCCTAAAGAAAATATTTTAAATTTCTTCTTTAGAAAAAGAAGAGGAAAAGAAGAAAGCCGAGAAGAATGTGACTTCTGAAACAAAAAAGAAAGGCAAGGAATTTAAAAACTGTCTAACACAAAAATCAATTGGTATCCATTTATAATGCTACTGGTACAGATGTTTTCTAGAAAAGAAATTCCCTTAATAATTTTATTATTATTCCTATTAACACTGGGGGATTTATAAATATTCCAAATAAAGTTAAAATTGATTAATTTTTAAAAAGAAAATTCAAGCCTGAACACTTCTAAAAATTGTTACTGATTATTTTTTCCTTTCTTAGGATGGGTGTTTGGTTCTCTCTAATTCAGTCCTTACTGACTCTGTATATGAATATGATGATTACTGTTAAATTCATTGAGTTTAATAAAAAAAAAGTCTATCAAAAGAGCAAATTATTTAATGTATGCAAAAAAATACGAGTTGATTGGTTTGCTATGTTTTGTTCTTTTCCTTGTTTTCAAATAGTGCATCTGAAGTTCCAAGTGAACCGCAGAGATTTCTGAGCTTCTGACATGCTTCCAGTGGCCTGATAGCTCAGGAAATATTCAATATATTCCTTTTAATATCCTTTAGAAAAACTATTGAATTCTACCATAAGTAATAAAGCCATTTAATGTTTTCACTGTCATGAAAGATTTTTTGGACTTTCACAAAAATTTGCTCCCATCCTGAAGAGAAAGCACACTTTTGTATTCTGTTACGAAAGTGCTAGTAACACTCATCCTTCACATGATTTACGGCTCTGATCCAGGATTACTCTACAGAAGGTGAATTGGATGCCTTAACGGCAGTCATGTGTGACCTGAAATATATCAGAATTAAACAGATAGAGGCTTATAATTTTCTCGTTTTACTACCAGAAAAAGAAGATGTCAAAAAGAAAACTGAGAAGGAAACTGCTGTTGATGTGAAAAGAAAAGGTATTATACTTTGTTTTCTTAGTCAGATTATGTTCAGAATGTTTTGTTCATGAAAGAATCTTGGAGCAATGTAAACAAATTGGTTATAGCTACTTAAATCCATCCACGTACAGACTGCCAAAGCAAAAATTGCGCTGGACAAAGTTAAACAGGTAAGGAAGACTTTATTCAAGGCTATTACCAATAGGAGAGAGAGAGCCTAGAACTCATTCTGAATTCAATTGTACTGAAAAAGAAGCAGGAGGGTTTGTAAGAGCTGGAATGAGGTCAGGGGATTGTAGGCCATCTGTGTTTGCTAACTGGCCTTACTCAAAGGAAAAGTAAACTTTCTCTTATCTCCATGATAGGACTGTAATTTTTTAACTTGGAGTAAGGTACCCAAGGGAATTAGGTTCCCACTCTCCCACAGAAACTGGGAGCTAGAGGTACTATATTTCCTAATGATTACATTTCGAAGGATAGTTCCTAGGTCCTTAAGAAAGGCCTTCCTGGATTGTAAAACTGGAAAGAGGCTTTTAAAAAGATTTATATCTCAAAGGAGCAGAGAGAGAATTTACAATTCAATTTACAAGACTTGTAAATTTAGAATTTCTGTAAATTTTAGAATTTACAAATTTTCTAAAGTAAATGCTCTCAGAAAAGGGAGATCAAGAGTCTAAGGTCAGGAAGAAGCCTACTTAAAGTTTAACACAGCTGAGGGGAGCTTTAAGGCAATCCTGGTGAAGACATACTGAAATTGAGAAGGGCTACATGGTATAATAACATCACTTTGCAAAGAAAAGAAGCTGAGAGACAGTAATGCAGCCCATTACGAAATGGCATTGTTCAACAGCTTAGATTTTTGCTTTAAATTTAGTTCTGCTTTTAATCTTGTTCAAACCTGAATATTGGCTTCTATTTAGGTTAAGCTTAACTCTAGGTGAAAAAGACAGTCATCTCAAGTATTATGGCTTGGTGGTAAGTGTTTTCACCCCAAATGTTTCCTCTGCTGGTGTCAGTGATGCTTGAAATTCCACCACTAGATATTTTCCATTTCTTTGAGTTATGAAGGAATCGTCCTCTATTAAAATGCAAATCTCCTGGGGCCTGTGTGTATGGGGTAACAAACTAATTCTTCTCAGCTATCAGCACTAAGTGAATGAGATTTCCAGATCTTCCCTGTGTAACATTAAGCTGAAAACAATGCCCTAGAAAACGAGTCAGTTGGTAAGCTTACCGGATAAAGAGGTTGAAGAGAGAGATGCGAGGTAGGACATTATCTGGAGAGAGCAGGCCAGCTTGACAGCATTTGTGAAAACCCTTCTCTTCCTGGGGAGTAATAGTGAGTGGGAGGAAACAAAAAGGTGGTGGTGAAGGGCCCTGAAAAAGGAGACCATAGGATGCCAAACTAGGCATTGATTACTCTTAGTAAGCAACAAATAAGATTTACAGGTAATCCCTGACACCTGGGGTAATAAAAAGTGTAAAATATTAAGACTTGCATGATTGTATGGCTCATGAGATCTTCAGGAAGAGGTGTCTAGGTATTCTATGGGTCTGGGAGTTGATTGCCAATTACTTTGCATTTGAAAGGTTCTCCCTCCTGGGCCATCAGTTTTACCAAAGTATTTGCAGAAGAAAGTTTTGAATTGTAATCTTCAAAGTATATGTCATAAGTGTGCAAATGCAAAGTCAGAAAAAAAATACTTTTGGCAAAACTCAGCGGTGTGTGTGTGGTAGTTGTTTTGTTTCGATTTTAGTTTTTGAGGGGAAAGGAAAAAACACGTTTGTGTACAGTGAGTGATGGGAAAATCTGATATTTCTATGCTACTGGGAAAGCTGTGTTATTAGCCCAACAGTCATGTTAAAGTGAGGTTGTGCACCACTGGCAAGAAAACTGATTATGCCAATATCACTTCCTACAAGGCCAGTGCTCGGCCATTGAAGCAGAGACTGATCTAGGTGATTGCTCAGCACACCTGGGAAGGGATCTCAGCTGGGGTTGACAAAGTCTGTCCTTCTTGGAACTAGCTTTCTGTTTGTCCATCACTTTTACTTTTTATTACACAAAATACCATTGGCTCTTACCATCAGTTCAATCTCCTGACAGAAATAGGCATAAATTATTTGTTTACAAGTTCTTAGCCCCCAAAGACTCAAAATTGTGTGTGTGCATATGAGAGAGAGAGACAGACAGAGATTCTATGAGTGCTGGTTTTCAACTCATGTCTCTTTTTAGAGTTTAGTAATTCTCCAAATATATTTTCATGTGAGAGCAACATAGTTTAAAAACAGCCGGTTTGGGGCCCGGTGCCGTGGCTTAGTGGTTGCGTGCGTGGGTTCCGCTGCTGGCGGCCCGGGTTCGGATCCCAGGCGCGCACGGACGCACCACTTCTCCGGCCATGCTGAGGCCACGACCCACATACAGCAACTAGAAGGATGTGCAACTATGACATACAACTGTCTGCTGGGGCTTTGGGGGAAAAAAAAAGAGGAGGATTGGCAATAGATGTTAGCTCAGAGCCGGTCTTCCTCAGCAAAAAGCGGAGGATTAGCATGGATGTTAGCTCAGGGCTGATCTTCCTCACAAAAAAAAAAAAAAAAACCCGCCAGTTTGAAACTTGTTATAAAGTAGTAAAAATTTCTAGAGATAATAAAAGAAATTTAGAATAACCTGAAATCTTGAAGCACCTATTATAAAGATACTCTCAGAAATGTATTGGAAGATAAAATTAATATAATAAAAGATGGTTTTTGAAGGCCTGAACTGTACAGTGCCTAACCTATATTTAAGTCCCCCCAAAAGTTGAAACACATAGCTCAATCAGGCAACATGATAAAATTTGGCAATTTAAAGGGCTCACAAGGCACATAAATGTATTTATGTTCTTTACCTAAACTGTAGCAACATGATTTTTTTCAAGAGTTATCTGAATAGGAGTATAAATTGCAAGAAGGATCCTGAAAAACTAGACTAGCTTTTCTGAAATAAGCTACCAGAAAAGGACAAATTCACTCATTCATTTATTCTTGCATGCATTCTTGCAGGAAATATTCACTAAATGCCTACTGTATACCATACATTGTGCTAGTTCAATGCTGGGCACACAGAGGTGGATAGACAGAAATATGCCCTGCCATAATGGAGCTTACGGTTTGAAAAGGGAGGCACACAGTGAATAAGTGGACATAATGTCCATAGGCACAACTTGAGTAAGAGACATGGAGGAAACAAATTTGGGGCAACGACAGAAAACAATGGGTGGGAGTCAGGACCTATTTAGCTAAGCTTGTTAGAGCAAGCCTCTCTCCGAGACAACATTCAAATTGGAATCTCAGGTATTGGAAAGGATCCAGCCATTGATGTGTTCATCTTTGTGTGATGTGTGAATATGGTGTGTGTGTGATTGTGTATTAGGAAGTACAGGGGGTCAGAATATGCAGAGACTTGTGTAGGTGTTTGGATTTCTTAAAAATGCAATGGGAGATTCTTGATTGGTATTAGCAGTGGAGAAAATATCCTGATCTATGCTCAATACAAGTATAATCTGAATTGGATAATGGATTAGAGGGAGAAAGGAGAAGAGGTAAGCCAATTAAAAAAGGGTGTCATTTATTGGGATGGTGAAGCCAATATGGGGAACAGCTATGATGGAAACACCCTGGAGTTTACTTTTGAGTATTTTGTTTCAGGTGTTTGTGACTCACATTCAAATTTTGTATCAGAAACTATTTTAAGTCCTTTACAAATGTTAATTCAGTCAATCTTTATAATAAATCAAGAAATAAGGTATTGTAATCCTCATTATAAAATTGAGGAACCAAAGACACAGAGAGCTTAAGTAACATGCCCAAGGTCACACAGGTCATAGATGTCAGGGCCGGGATTTTAACCCAGGCAGTGTGGCTCCACAGCCCATATACTCTGAATAGTCATTTAGATATGTGGATCTGGAACTCAGAGGAGATTCTGAAATGAAGTAGTGAATACAGTAGTCCATATAGATCATAGTTATTGCCCTGGAAATAAATGAGATTACCCTGAGATATTGTGTCAAAAGAAAAAAGAGAATAGACTACAGAATCAAGACCTGGGGAATTCCAGCATCTAGAGATTAGAGGATGGAAAATAAAGCAAGAGAGGCTGAAAGAAATTGTCAGACAGGTTAAAGGAAACGCAAAAGGGTTTGGTATTAGAGACATTTCAGAAAAGGATGTTTCAAGAAGCAAGAAGTAATCAACTTTGTAACTTTGTGAATGTTAGTTAGAATTTGTGACATGGGGGCAAAAAAGACCAGAGCAGTTTGTGGAGTGAAGGGATAAAGCCAGACTGGAATGGAGTTCCAAAAAGGGAGAAGAAGGTAGTGATTTTTTTTTTTTGAATTGTGGCTGCATAAGGAGTAGAGTCTTTTTTGTTTTGTTTAGTTTTGGTTTAGAAGGTGAATTTAGAGCCTGATGGACATAAACAGAATGTGAGAGATTGATGCTCAAAGGGATGAGGGATAAATGGAAATCTAAGAGATAATTTAGAATTCATTGTTTGATGAGCACACAGGTGAAAAAAATAATCTGCTTTTTTTGGAGATAACACCACAGACACTCCAATAGTAAAAACAGTAAAAACTTTTTTACTCTAGCTGTTTTCAAGTTAGAGAGGAATTATCTAGATTGCTTTATAAAGAGAGGCATACATTTGCAAGATATACAATATAAAATTAGGCAGCTGTTGTGATAAAACTAAAACTCCCATAGTAAATCCATTCTGAGTTGAAAGCCTCAGTTTCAGAAAAAGGTATATCCAAAATGTCCTTAATGTTCACTGAGTGGCAAAAGGTAAGTTTGTGAAGTATATTTTAGCAACATTTTTTAAGAATCATTCATTCAGTTAAAATATACCATTAGAAATTTACATTAAAATATCTTTGTGGAGATAAATTGACCAGATAAGATTAATCCAGTATAAAGCTCTTAAGGTTTATTCTGTTTTGAAGGATATAGTTATATTTATTTCCGTAGAATAT